GCAAGAACCCATGCTCTGTGGAAAGGTTCGCTCTCGAGCTCAGGTGTCTTAGAAAGCTTTCAAATGTTTGCTAAATGAACGCCAGTTAGCTTAGAAACGACCATCAGGTCTGCGTTATTGTCAAAACAATGGCACATTAGATGCTGAACTCCATTACACGACAACTTCATGTTATTACATGACTCGGAGTGTACTACGGACATCACCACCTTGTCGGCCACTGCATGCATTGAAAATTGAGTTCATGACTGCGAATTGTCTTCTTCTGGCTATAAATATTGCCGATAGTCACAGTATTTTTACTATTAATTACGATACTAGTCGTAAACATCGTATGAATATACTATTCGAGTGTAAAAAAAATTACATGACAACAAATTATTCTTTAAGAATACTGATTCCTGCTACCTATCGTACTTTACGATGATCAGTGCTACCTATCGTATGCCAATAGCACCCTGTACCATGCATTTTTGTCGTAATTTCCACCAAGTAAGTGTATTTTCACACCATTTTCCTATTATTTTTCCTTGCTCAACGTACACACGTTTAATTTTTTGTTCTAAAAGTCAAGGATCGCTCATTAGTTCTCCGCCATTTGTTCCAGACTCCCAAACGCTTCCACTTGACTTATTCCCACTCTGACCCTCCCTCCACCTTCATCACCTCCACACTTCCTCCTCCCTCTGCTCCCCAACACCCGCACCTCCCACATCCATCAGAAGCGAGACAGAAACAATGAGTTCCTCAGTAATCACTCATTTGGCTGCCTTATAAAAGCGACTAAAATCGTCCGCTTTAAAGCGGGTAATTAAGTGCCTTGTTTTTGGTAGCCAGGCAAGAACGCTTCTGAGCGAAGCGCGGAACGGAGCCTGAAAAAAGTGACCAGTAGGAAGAAGTTTCGCTTGAAAATCGTTTAGTTGCTTTTAGCTGAGAGTGAGGAAAAAATGACACGCTTATAAGCGAATTATTGAGTTAAAACGAATTAAGTTTGAAAGTTTTGTCAAATAACTGTTATATGTTTCCAATCTAGTCAAAGAGAAAAAAATTAAAGGAAGTGAAACAAGTCGGTTAAAACGCTGATATATACAATCGGGCCAAATATTCATTAAGCTCGCGGCAAGTTAATGGTTCAGTTATCTATTCAAAATTTCAGGCGGCCTATGCTTGCCGTTGAAAAAAAATAACTTCAGTCCGTTCTAATTTAAAACAATCTTATAACCTTGTGATTAAATCGAGTCAGACGCCCAATGCGTTTAAAATAAATCGAGAAGAGACGGAGTTGCCGAGGTCGCACTAATTTTGCCGCCACATTCATCATGAAGTCAACGTGAGATGTGACGCAAGGACGACAATTGCGTTTAATGAAGCCCGCGTCGCCGGCGGCGCTGACGAATGGTCGAGCCATCAGCACCTGGCGCCCGACATGGCGTCAGGTGCCTCACGTGGCGCCCGACACGGCGTCAGGTGCCTGGCGTGGCGCCCGACACGGCGTCAGGTGCCTGGCGTGGCGCCCGACATCATGGCGTCAGGTGCCTGGCGTGGCGCCCGACACGGCGTCAGGTGCCTGGCGTAGCGCCCGACATGGCGTCAGGTGCCTGGCGTGGCGCCCGACATGGCGTCAGGTGCCTCATGTTACGCCCGACATGGCGTTAAGTATTACTGAAGGCCGCAACGCTTGCGTTTTAGCGATGACTAAAATATTCAAAAAATCCATTGAGAATAAAATATGCAGTAGTGCCAGCCGACCGTCGGTCACCGCTTGTCACGCTGCTGGACAAGCTTCGCATGTGAATGCAAAGCGAATAGTGCAATTTGCAATTCGTGTTCCAAAAGTGAGCTTTCGATCGAAATATCGAGAGCTCACCACATGACGCACTTAAAACGATGTGAAAAATTTCGCATAATTTCTTCTCATTAACAAAGCTTGATTAGAGTTACTCCATAAGTTGTAATTAATAGATTTATACGCGTATTCGTCACTACCTGTTTAGTTAACATAGGCAGCTATATGAAATTTTGTAAAATTAAAGTTGAATCCCTAAATTTAAAGTTTAATATGATTTTAATGTATTAGTGGTGATTCAATTGGCCGAGATGTTGAGCCGTCGTGCTTCACTGGCATTTTATTTCTGGCACTTGTCAACTGTATTTAGGTTTCAGACATCCTTCTAAACATGTAACATAGTTGTGAGTGCTTATGTAGGATTGATCATCAATCACCCTTAAATATGATGCGTTGACACGTTGGTTTAGGGGACTGTTGACTACGAAAAGAGAGGGTGGAAGCTTGTCAAAAAAGATAAGAATCGAATGAAATCTATTGAAAATGAATGAGGATATTTTGTGTCATTGTTTAGTTTCTATATATTTCCCTGTTTGAAATCCCGTATCTCTGCTTTCCAATGTGATATTCGATGTTCGTGCGTAGATTGGTCAGTGACCGAGTTTTGTGAATCGATCTCATCTGGTTAAAAAAATCAGCCGCGTTCCCTTAAAATCCTCTCAAAATCTCCTTAAAATTCAGTTCAAACACCGTTAATTGGAGCCTCTAATTGGGGCTGCGCGCTCAATACATCGGCAGGAACGTCACTCAAATTCATGACTTCGTTAGTCTTCATCTGAATTATTAATGGAAAACCCATACCGGACTCCTGCATCGTGCAAAACTCTAATTAATTAATGTGATTGGTCAAAGTTTTCTCTCTGCACTGCAGTTCTGTGTTCTACGAGTTCTTTTATTGACACAGAAATGTAAATGTAAACTAGAGCACTCGCATCTCTGCGCCGCAGAGCTTTTAAACTGTGCTCTGTACCGGACCTCTGCACCGCAGCTCTACACCCCAGCTCTGCATACTCGGCTATATTTTTTATGATGATATGTCAACATGAAATTACTTAATCGTTTCTTCTATTTGTTATTTTTTTCAAAATTATAACAGCAATCTCTAAATAACCTTTTTCAATAGGTAAAAATTTGATTAGTTATTTATGTGTCGCTTTCTAAATGATAAAAATTATAAGCGAAAATTATAAGCGAAACGATAAAAATTATATGAGGCACGGTAAGCAAGATGCTTCATTATTTTGCAACGTGTCTCGGCGAACCGACGCGCTCGCTCTAACGCGGATCATTAAAATTTCAATTGCTTTTTATATTAATTCCGCACTTTTACGACCAAGTTTTCGTTAAATTTATTAATTTTGTTAAATTAATTACCCGGGTCAAATGGACCGCTCAGCTTTTAATGAGGAAAATAAATAATGTTTCCTGTAGCGTTATTTTTGTACGATTCTTGTGACCGTCATAATATCCAGGGAGCTTTTTGCGGTATTATTTCAGCTTAATTTTTCACCTATTATTTCTCGCTCTTAATTAATTAAACATAAATCAAGTCAAGCCCTCGTCGCGCCAAAAAAACATTGTTTTTTTTTAGTTCTAGTTTGGACGCGATAATTCCATTAGAATACTGCTTTAAAATAAGGACGGAAATAGCGACGTTACAATGTAAAGTCATAACGCAGGAAATTATCATTTAAAGACCAGTTAAAAAATCGTATGTTTTATTCGCCAGTGATCAACAATCGATCACTGGCCATCAAAATACCTGCTTTGTGTGTACGATTAGAAACTATGTTTGTGTGTACCGACTGTGTTAAGATGTAATAACTTCTAGGATGCTACGAACTTCGTGTTCATGTGAATAAATAGTGATGAAGGTCGTTTCTTCTTATTACGTTACTGGTATATATTATTTGTCTTGTTGGATCAGCGCCGAAATAGTTTTAAAGAAGTAAAAGTTCTTGTTATCTGGCCGTGACGTCACTACAAGAAGATATGAACAACGCATGCAACGATTGGGGAAAAACATTTTTCCATAAATGAGAAAATACGCTAAAAATACTTGTTTGAATCAGATATAGTCCTGAAGATAGTGCGTTTCGATAGGCATAATATTCCTACACTTAGTTCAAATGTTCTCTTGGTTGCTGTCACTGCTTCATGAGTTGTCTATAGGTACGTAATTAGAATACGATTTCTTCTTTACTCGTCCGGCAACTCTATTAGTCTCGACGTTCCACTTCTCTATTTCAGCTCAACTTAAATCATGATTTCATTGGCCTTTTAATTCCATTCTAACTTCCCGCCACGCGTCGCCCCGGACGCATTCGTCGCTCCGAGGCTGGAGCTTCTTCTTTAACCTCATTAAGCTTCCTTAATTGACACGGGATGGATGGCGCTGCCTTAAATAATAATTAGCTCTCTCAATTAGCCCGGCCATTAATTCAATTATTCCGTAGCTCGGCCCGCCTCTCGTGTTTAGGGAGGATATCTTCGTGTGTAGTGTGTCTGCCGCGGCGCTATGTGGCGCATGCTGTGCTTCTTGATTATTATAGACGACTTATCGGTGGCCACATTTAGTCTTATTTCATATACTAATGATACTCATGTTTATTGTTTCACTTCATGCAATCGTCAAAAAACTGTTTGTTCCCTTTCATCGATATGATGTGCAACTTTAAGCACGTGTTGATCTAACTTCTTAATTGTTTCGTGCCTCTCTCCTAAACGTGTGTAATCTCATTCCATACACACTCACAAACGTGTAATCTCATTCCATACACACTCACACACGTGTAATCTCATTCCATACACACTCACACACGTGTAATCTCCTTCCATACACGCTCACACACGTGTAATCTCATTCCATACACACTCACACACGTGTAATCTCATTCCATACACGCTCACACACGTGTAATCTCATTCCATACACACCCAAACACGTGATTTATCACCATCGTTTAACTCACCACTCACGCCCCCTCCAGTTAACCCCCCACTCACGCCCCACTCCAGTTGAACCCCCACTCACAACCCCCGTTTAACGCCCCACTCACGCCTCCCTCCAGTTCAACCTACCACTCACTCCCCCATATGTTTAACCCCCTTCCTCCAGTTCAACCCCCCACTCACGCCCCCGTCTGCCCCCCAGACTGCGTGGTGTTCGTGGGCAACGAGCTGGTGGAGGTACACAGGCACGGCGCGTCCTGGAGCGACGGCGACGATCGCTGCGCCGTCTGCCAGTGTGACGACGGCGAGCAGCGCTGCTACTACCACTACTGCAACGGTGCGTCATGCTGCGTCATGCTTACTGCGTCATGCTGCGTCATGCTTACTGCGTCATGCTTACTGCGTCATGCTTACTGGTATCTTGGTACTTGTTTGGGACGTAGCAGTCCCAGGCCACGATGGATCGCCGCCTCTGATTATCGTTCATCCGCCCTCATTTGGGCCACCTGATGCACGATGCTGTTGCTTGCTTCTTGCCACTGGTAGTGTTGCAGGGGAGGTCGATCAGGGATTGTGCTCAGGAACACGTCTAGCTGTCTCTTGAAGGTCTCCAGGGTGAACTCCCCCTCTCTTAGATCCTTTGGTAGGACGTTGAACTGCCTTGGTCCTGCCACGGAGAGTGATCCTTCCCGCAGGGATTGAAATCTGACTGCTGATCTGCTACGTCTTGGGGACATCCCTTCTCTCGTTGTAATATGTCTCAATCCTGCAGGTCTCGCTCTCGAAGTTTGGCACTATTTCGGTTATCATTTTCCATGTGTACAGAATGACATACCTCTCCCGTCTCCTCTGCAGTGAGTACAGACCCAGGCGCCTCAACCTTTCCCAGTAGTTCAACTCTTCCATCCCTCTGATCCTGGAAGTGAAGGTTCGCTGGACACCTTGCTAGCACCAGTGACCTGGTGCTAGGTAGCGGTGCTCCATACCAGCTCTTCCGCTACCTCTGTATCTCAGAACCTCAAACTTGGTCCCGTTGAACTGCATGTTGTTCACTTACGCTCAGTCACATATTGCAGAGAGGTCTTCTTGCAACCTCTCGCTGTACGTCCATCCTGTTCGTTATGGTGATTAGTATCCTGGTGTCGTCCGCAAATGACGATGCAGTGGCGTGGTTCACAGCCACATCTATGTCGGCGATGTGAATGAGGAAGAGGATTGGGCAGAGTACCGTTCCCTGTGGTACTCCACTCTTCACCCTAGCCACGCTCGATATCGAGCCTCCAACAACTACAGCTTGTAATCTTTCTGTTAGGAAGCTGTGGATTCATGCCAGCAATTCACCTCCGACTCCCAGCAGTCTTAATTTTCTGAAGAGCACTCCATGGTCAACTTTGTCAAACGCTTTCACAAAGTCCAAATACACCACGTCCACCCCGGCCCCCTCTTCTAGCATGGCCAGGATTTGGTGGTGATGCTCCAGTAACTGAGACAAACAGGAACGATTTCGTCTAAAACCGTGTTGCCTTCTGTTGAAAAAGTCAGCGTCTTCCATGTACTGCACCAACCTTCTGGCAACAACCTTCTCAAATACTTTGATTACGTGTGATGTTAATGTAACCGGCCTGTAATTTTGGGGTTTGTCTCTTGCACCTCCTTTGTAGATAGGGGTAATTAGCCCTAATTTTAGGTCACTTGGAACATTTCCTTCTCTCAATGATTTTTTCAGAGCAAAGTCAGAGGGACCTTTAGTGCATGGACTCATTTTTTTTCAGTAATACTGCAGGGACCCTATCTGGCCTGGGAGCCGAATACGTAGTTAATTCTTGGATACTCTTCTCTAGGTCCGGTGTTTCAAATTAAATGTTCATCAGCTCCCGCCCCCTGCAAGTTTTTGGATGACTCCAATTTCGTTCTCCTGTCTTGAGTATCGGGGTTCGCTGAATACTTTTTCAAATTGCGCTCCCAGAAGTTCGCACATGCCCTGGTCGTTTCCAATTAACAAGGACATCGTTATTTTTCAGAGGCTCCACTGAGGCTCTGAATTTGTCCTTTGACCGGGCATATTTGTAGAAATATATGGGATTCTCTGGAATGGCAGTCACCGCTTGCGCCTCTGCAATTTGTTGCTCGGCCTCGTGTGAGTCCTGCAACTGTCGCTCAGTTTCCTTAATTTTAAACTTTAGATGTTCCAGCCTCCGCCTCTCTATATTCCTGGAGGCGGCCGTTATCTGGTTGTTCAAGCTCGCTCGTTTTCTCATTAGGATCCGTCTGTCCCTCGGAATTATACGTATGTCCCTAACAAAATTCGGGGTATGCTTCAGTCTCCGCCCTAGAGTCGCTGTGCTCGCGTTAGAGTTATTCTGGGTCAGTTGGCCAACTGACCGCAATCAGCGACTAGTCAGAATCTCCTTGCCGACTTTATAGTCTCCTGAGAGTAGGGCAAGAGTTGACAGAATAAGTACCAGGCGCTTGTAGCTGTCTGATTCGGGGACCGGAATGTAGACCAAAGAGCGGACATATATGCTGGGGGACGATGCTCCCCGAGTCCTATAGGCGTTCCTTAATCCAGAGCCGCCCTCGGCTCTAAATTTTGTTAGGGGTAGCGTTTCTGCGTCATGCTTACTGCGTCATGCTTACTGCGTCATGCTTACTGCGTCATGCTTACTGCGTCATGTTTACTGCGTCATGTACTGCGTCATGCTTACTGCGTCATGCTTACTGCGTCATGCTTACTGCGTCATGGCTGCCGTTCACTCTTCCATACTTAACAACTGTCACAGACGCAGCAGTTGTAAGCTGCAATGGTGTATCTCACATCCGACAAACATCTCTTCAATCTTATCGGAAAAGAATTTCTATTGCATTTTATCATTGTACGGTACAGTACAATAAAACTAACATTTAAACGCATTCTTTACTTTTTATGACATTACATCTTATCAGTTAATGGGACTAAAAGGTATCACATACTTGGAGAAGTTATCCTCATATAAGGTTGTAGAGAAGCTATGTATTTATAAATTTTGATGGATTAGTCAAGTTTATTAATAGCAAATATAACACTCCTGAATTCTTGTGATGTGGCAATTAGTATTTAAATATCTTTGTCCTTGAATTGGAATTAATGAGGTGATTTTCCCGCAGGTCCGGAACTAGGTTTCATCACTCCTCCTTCAGCCGAGACTCCAACCCTGGAGGCAGGCTCAACCCGGACTGAAAATTTGGACGAAACTCGCGCGCCGAGCTCGTCCAAAAACGCGGACCTCAGCACATCCGGTGACTCCGGAACTCTCGCGGAGTTAGAAAATAATTCAAGTCTTTACAATAGTTATCAAAGGCCCGCTGGCGGAAGCCCGATAGCAGGATCAAATTACGAAAAACCTTCTACAGAACTTGCCTCTGCCGTGTCAAAACCAGAGTCTGGGACTAGCGCACTTTTTTCCCCGACGGAAAAACCTTTTCCATCGACTACGAAATTGGTTGCCGCGACGGCCACCCGTAACGAAGCGATCGAACGAATGTTCCAGTCCAACAACGACGAATATAACAACGCAGACGATGAGCACGAAACGCACGCTTCGGGCATGAGTCCGTGGCCCTACAACGATGATGAAGACGAATATTACGACGAAAGCTACGACAATAACTTCGATAAACTCGGCGATAACATTGGAAAACTTTTCCCATCCGTCGATACGACCCGGGAAAATGTCGCAGTTGACCCTGAAGTACCGCAAAGTAACAACGAACACTCGGGACCTCACGGGACCGCATCTCCGGACCACAGCGGCAAGCCCGTGCGGTCTCATGACTGCGAATCTGACTGCGGTAAAAGCTGTCCCTATGGCTACAAGGTGAGACATGCGTTTGAATTTACCGAGATGCTATAAATATTTTCTGTAAAAATTTTAATTGCATTCAACGAGTGTTTTCGATATAACTTTCATGCACAAAACTCCATTTTTTTCATGACCAGAGCAGCTAATTGAATCTAAGTAGCAAACGAGCGCACCGTTATTATCAACAATTATTATAAATATTTTCTCCTAGCAATACTTGATGTTTTTATTTTAATAAAATAAACACCATTTACTCGTTAATTTTTTTTTGCTAGCGTTGCGAAAACTTTCAATATTTTCAATTCCTTCGTAATTTGTCAATTAATTCTGTATTGGCCATCGGCTTGAAATGTTGACTGTACAGAACATTCATACAGAAAATTATTATGAAGAGTTTGTACTAAAGTGTGATTAGGGTTATTTTTTCTTATTCAATTGCCTGATATTTGCGGGGGGGCAAGATAAGAGTGGGGCACTGCCCCTGCTGATACCGCCGCAACATTGCCTTATCGCTCACCCCTGTCTCGATGTCTCGCTTGAAATACGCGCTGTCTCGTGAATGCCTTCATGGGTCTCACTGTCTCTTGAATGCCTTCATGTGTCTCACTGTCTCGTGAATGCCTCCATATGACTCACTGTCTCGTGAATGCCTTCATGCGACTCACTGTCTCGTGAATGCCTTCATGTTTTTTTAATATAATCGAGTAAGGATCATCATAAACATGCTCATTTCGTTCATTGCTAATTACTCGTTCCCGTCATCACATTAATCTCCCGTTATCATATTCGGACAAGCCGCCAGTATTGTTTTCCGTGTCGTCATCTCCATGTTACAATGTAAAAATTACCCCCCGGAAGATCAGAAGTTTGCTCGTATCCTCGGCTTGGTTTTATGAGCAAACTTCGGGGGAAAGTTTGGCCAAGTTCGCAGCTTCTTACGCCGTGAAGCCTTGCTGATTCTCACGGTGTGATCACATTGATCAAAATAATAACAATGTGATAACTGATAACAATGATAATCACAGTTCTCACGGTGTGATCACTTTGATCAAAATAATAACAATGTGATAACAATGATCATCACAGTTCTCACGGTGTGATCACATTATTCAAAATAATAACAATGTGATAACAATGGCTGCAGTTCTCACGGTGTGACTACATTGATCAAAATAATATAACTCAGTATTCACTGCAGTGAGTGACAGAGAGCGTTCTTTCTCAGAAACGACGAAAACGTGAAGCCACGGACAGACGGACGGACGGATTTGTATATTACTGCTACCTATTAACTACAGATACATGAAATTATTCATATTTTTTACTACCTACAAATAGGCGAGATCGAATTCATATAGTTTTGCGATCTACCAACAGTGCTGGCGCTCAATTCCATATGAAAACATTTACACAACTGCGCCGACTGCGGCCGAATGCATACATGGTTAAAGTGCACAGCATTAACCACCACACGCACAGCTGTGCACAGCCTGTACGGCCATACGCACAGGCGTATCAGCTGTGCACAGCCTGTACGGCCATACGCACAGGCGTATCAGCTGTGCACAGCATGTACGGCCATACGCACAGGCGCATCAGCTGTGCACAGCCTGTACAGCCATACGCACAGGCGCATCAGCTGTGCACAGCATGTACGGCCATACGCACAGGCGTATCAGCTGTGCACGGTGGCCGGAGTTAGGTTATCAGTAACTTGATAAGAGGTATCGGCCAGCGCCGCGGCATACCGCACTGTTCCCGTGTACACATCAGCGCGTGTACACGGGTCACGGGGGACGGTGTGTGTTCCCGTGTACACATCAGCGCGTGTACACGGGTCACGGGGGACGGTGTGTGGTCCCGTGTACACATCAGCGCGTGTACACGGGTCACGGGGGACGGTGTGTGGTCCCGTGTACACATCAGCGTGTGTACACGGGTCACGGGGGACGGTGTGTGGTCCCGTGTACACATCAGCGCATGTACACGGGTCACGGGGGACGGTGTGTGGTCCCGTGTACACATCAGCGTGTGTACACGGGTCACGGGGGACGGTGTGTGTTCCCGTGTACACATCAGCGTGTGTACACGGGTCACGGGGGAAAGTGTACCTAAACACTGAGCTGTTATCAGTATCGCGGTCACCCCAGTCTTATCAATCGTGATGAAATACCGCGTATCTGATCGGCTGATGCTCCTGCGATGCTTGTCTTGGTCATAGTGACTGACAATTGCACTAGACATCGTACTATTAGTCTCATATATTTCATTAAATAATGTTCATAATACTTTAATTAGATGAATTTCAGAAACAAATAAGAAACATTACGGAGCAATTAAAAAGTAAATTTTTATACATTTACATAGCACGCGTGAGTGCTCGTTCTGCTGCCATCTTCTGTGGTGAAACACTCGCATCAAACCTTATAAGCGTGCAATGTGCCTGAGATGGTTTGATTTTATTTGGACAAACGTGAACACCGAAATATTAAACATATAAACTTTTTAGTGCTCTTGAATCATGCGTAACATCCTCTCATCATATTCATAGAATCATAACTACCGTTCACAGATTTTTTCTTTCGATTTATTTATTTTACACGAATGGGACACAACAATATAGCTGAATGTAACAAATTATCAAATTATGATCACGATGAACCTAAGTATGAATTATTTCATCATGCATCGTAAATAATAAAAATGACCACTTCCAGATCACTCCCGGCGCAGGCTGCCCCACCTGTAAGTGTTTGAAGTGCAGGCCGCTGAACCACTGCAGTTTGTATTGTCCGGACGGCTATACAACCGACGAGCACGGTTGCCCAACCTGCACCTGTACCAGCAGCAACCATAACCATAGCCAGAACCAGGGAGATATGGTTGCAGTTCACCACACTCTAGGAGACATAACCGCAACCCATAAACTAGATGCAAGTTTCCCTGGTCAAAACAACGACGTTACTGACCACCGAGAAAACTACGTCACTCATCTTCAAGAAGATAACCGCAACATCAAGTTCCAGCATCCGTTGACTCGCGACCGCAGTGCTGATGTTCGGATTATGAGCCCCGATTCCGTCGAGCCATCGAAGAAAACTGCCGACGTTGTGTCAAGTGGACAAGATGTTTCTGGGTCTAATAGTATCAACGTCGGTCTATTGTCTCGCGAGACCCATAAAAGCAAGGACCCTCATAACCATTTCTACGACAACGCCTTCAACATCCTCAGGGAAGACGAGGTCTCCATTCTCAGAGACCGAAACCCTGACGAGAACCGAGACTTTCGCCTCGACCACTTGCAACTTCCCGACGATGTTATCGTCGTTCCTGGTCGCAGGCAAGAAGACGATGATGGTGATGATAGTGTTCACGTAAAACATCATCGTGATCATTCTAAAGACGGCGCGCAGCAATCGTCTCAAGACTTCTTCTCTCCACTCGACTACGATTTGGATTTCGTGACGACCGAAGACGACGACCTCAGCACGACGGTGGCCAGGGCCGAGGCGGAGAAGGTGGTCATTTCTTCTTCGTCGTCTCATAGTCATGGCAATTGTAGCCACGCAGGTGAGCTTTTCTTTAGTAATTATTTAGTTTGTTTTTCATTTCCTTGCATTTTCGTAAATCGTGTTAATCTTACTTTTTTACTGATACATTGAACGTATCCAATACATATTGATCGGAAACTTTCGACTTATAACTTTAATTAATATCATTAGACTTTGATTTTAATTTTCAACCTAATTTAGTCCAATTTTGCCTTGTGCAGCCCCGCGGCACTGCCAGGACCCCTCTGGTACGCGGTACCCCGTAGGCGCGGTGTGGTACCGCGGTGCGTGCACCGTGTGTCGGTGCTACGGTGCAGGGTACGCAGAGTGCACCATCACGCAGTGCAGCACCACATACGCACCGTCGCAGTGCAGACCCCCGCCTGCTGGACACTGCTGCCCTGACTGCTCAGGTCTGGGCAACTGCTGACAGCATATTCCTGCCTCTTTATCATGAAGTCGATGACATTTATGCCTCATTATCATTATCGAATTTATTATTCGAATTCGAATTTATTATTCGAATTCCAATTTATTATTCGAATCATCATCATTTGCGTTGTCTATATATTAATGTATTAAGCGCACCGAGAGTTACAACGAAAGTCGACTAAAAATTCTCGCTGGAAACTTTTGACTTCACTACGATTGCTATCAGTTGTTGTTATAGAGACGATATCATCTTTAAGCACAGCGGATTGCTGAAGGCTATTGTCATTTAGGATTTAAGTATAAGAACAATCCGGGGAACTGAGCGGTATTTTTAGGCCATGTTTTTTGGAAGCTAAAGTAAAGTATATTGAATTAATTAGTGAAACAAATTTAACGATTGAAAGTCCAACGAATGTAAAACTTGCAATCCTTGAAAATTTTATTATGTATTTTTCTTTTGTCCTTATCGCTAACTAACCATAGTTGAACTAATAGAAGTACTAACATTAGTTCCATAATGTTAATTGATTGCGCGGCAACCTGAAAGTAATGCTCGTTATCGGTTCACCGAATGATCGTCTCCGGTTCACATGAATAGCGTTTCATCGAAGTAAGTAAAAGCTTAAATCTCATCGTAGTGTATGGAAAAATTCGAATAGATGAATCAATTAACTTTAACCGGATTCAATTGTAACAAACTGCTTGCCATGCATTGTTTCGACTCGTGCTGCGTAATTGGTCCGATCATGTTTTCTACGCGGCTCGAGCTTTAATTGTTATAATCTATTAAACTACACTTATCAAACTTGTAGTCCATTTCCACCAGGTTATGTCTATATAATCCGATTATATATATTTTGGTCGCAATATTCATTACTGCTGATTTCAAAATTTACTAACGAAGTGTAGGAATTCTGGTCGGAACGGACTGAAATCTGCTCACTGTTAAGAGTTTTAAACAATCTACAATAATTTATGCTTTACAACAAATTAAATTTTTGAACCAGCGTTGGTTAATAAATTATATTTGCAATTATGTTCTCTCATTTTCTCGACGATTCAGATGAATATTCAAACTGATTAGCTCGCCATCGCTCCTATGGCTTTATTGTACGATCAATGCAAAAACATTCCATAAATAAACCCGAAATAAACGACTTCTACCATCCGGCTAATTGATTTTGCCTGTAAAAATCCGGGTTTTTGTCATCAAATACTGAGATTGCTAAAAGTCGGACGAGGATAAAAGGCCGGACGGTTGAATGCCCAGGAGGGACGGAAGTCGAGGGTTTATGCCGACATGAGACTGACTAATTATAAGTGGGGATTTGCATGCTATGAAAATGTTGTAATAAATGGAGGGTAAATAATGTATTTAAGCATGACCTGATACGGGGCTGGGGATAATTTGTGTTGTTTGGATGTGTTTGGGAAGAGAATAACTAATGAATTCAAAGTCAAAATTTACACTTACGGAGGCACTGAATTTTGAAATCGGAGTGCTAATGAGTAAATGAGTTTAAAATATAATATTAATTTATTGATTACTTTTTGACGCCATGAACTATCGATGAAATGAGACTGTTTAGAACGCATTAATGAATAATATTATAAATTTTTCGAACGCATTCATGAATAATAGGTATTATAGTAAAAGTGTAATGATAAATGTTTTCTAAATTTTCATTTTATTTTTGTTTTTGTATTCAAATTCCCAAGTTTACTGTTCAGGTGCACTCGAGGACATTGACGTGGCTGTTCGTCCTGCGCACGTCGCTGACGAAGCAAACGTAGCCGTCACGAGCGGTCAGATCGACGATGACGTCGACGTGGAGGACGACTCTGACGAGCACGACACCGTCAAGGAGGCGGTCAGAGGTGAGCGCGACGTGTCGACCATTTGTCGTGCGTGATTGGGGCAGGGCGGCCCAGTGGTTACAGGGCAAGGTGGCCCAGTGGTTACAGGGCAAGGTGGTCCAGTGGTTACAGGGCAAGGTGGCCCAGTAGTTACAGGGCAGGGTGGCCCAGTGGTTACAGGGCAGGGTGGCCCAGTGGTTACAGGGCAGAGTGGCCCAGTGGTTACAGGGCAGGGTGGCCCAGTGGTTACAGGGCAGAGTACCAGGATTGGCGCAGAGAGGCGCGCGGGTTCGATCCCAGCTCTGTGCGCCAGTTTCTGGTCAGAATCGGCGAGGAGGCCGGGCGGTTAAGCACATGCAGAATTGTAGCAGTGAGTTGCGAGTTCGAGACCGCAACAAGCTGCGAATATTCTGCGATGTTAAGAATCGGCGACAGGCCTACGGCCTAATAAACGCTGAAACCGCTATTATAAATTAAACGAGCTTTGTACCGCAGTGAGCGCCGTATCATTGAGTGATGTTACTTAGATGCACTACGTCGCTCTGTTCATGTTACAGCTCTGAAAAATTGAAAATACATACTTCCATTTGCTTGTACGTAATGCATATTTCTACAACTCAGTTTGCTCGCTTATTCCACGTATCTGTCCTTGGTTTATTCACTAACAATTAAAACTTACAACCGCCTCGTCTTTGTCTCGAAGTAAATATTAAGAAGCCTTCTTATCTGTGTCTTTTTACACACCGTAATTTTCGTGCAGACGACATCTCGTCAATATGCCTGGTAGTGCTGTGCCTGGTAGCAACCATCAGCATCGGTGTGGTCCTGGGGCTGCGGTACTGGCGTCGGTACCACAGCGCCAAGTACGACATCGCTGCGACCAGCATGTGCGAGGAGGCCCAGAAGCTACGGCCCGTCAAGCTCGGTTCATGCGAAATAATAACTGATCCTAACGACGTCTGTGCACCTCTGCGCCCTGCCAAGTGCGTCTGAAGTCAAAATACGCAACACAATATTTGTTGGTGTATCGGCGCTAAATTAATACATGGGTTAAAGATATATTGCTGGTCTGCTACGGCTCACGGGTGGCCGTCCGTCTGTAGTCCAAATACGCAATATTCGTAGGCGTATAGGCGCTAAATTAATATAGGGTTTGAAGATATATTGCTATGGCACTCGGGCGGCCGTCCTAGGCTCTTCTGTGGTCTAGGATGTGAAATTCTTGGCCTACTTTTCGGTGATGGATATTTGGTCTGATAATGAATGGCCAATCAGTGTCGGGACAAGGGTTTTCGGTGGCTGTTTAACGGAGGCTGCGCGGCTGCGGAAGAAGTCACTAACAATTTTTTGCCGTTTTCTACGGCTACGGAAAAATTCGGTGGAGCAGTTAAATTGTGAGGTTGCCTGAGACGTGTCAACTCGGGGACTTTTCAGATTAACGTGTAAGCCAATAATTGCCATGAATCATTCATTTTTATTTAACAAACAAGAACGGGGACGAATGTGAGAAAATAGCGACTGTTAAAACCGTGACTAAAAAGCGCTGCTCATAACAAAAACTATAAAAAACAAAATGCAAAATTCTTGGCTTATACAATGCTTAGCTTTAATTATATCAAAGTGTAAGCCGCCTAAAAGAGGACACTAAGAAAGGTGATGCATCAAAAACATCAAGTATTATGATACGTCAAGTGTTTCGACTTGCAGGAAGTGCATGAGGCTGAGTGTTACGTGACTGTACATAAATCATACGCGAAGCCCGAACAAAAGTGTACGATGATTTGATATATCGATGAGAAAAAATATATTTAGCTGTTGAATGACATGAGGTTATATTATCCGAGTAGTAATGCGTACTGCGCCTGTTGGAGAAAAGTCATGTTGTGTGCCGCGGATCCCGCCGGTCTTTCTTCTCTGGTTTACATAATATAATTAATTAGAGAGTGCAAGAGTGTTACGCGGTAGGGACTCTTATTTGTTGAAGAAAAGCTTTTTGTCTGTTGGAAAAAAATGTCGGGTAGTTAACCCTAAACTGTGTGGTTAACTCTTAATCGTTAGGTTAACCCTTAGTCGTGATGTTAACCCTTAATAGTGAGGTTTAGCGTAATCGCAAGGTCTATCGTAAGCGCGATCTAAATGCTTAATCGTTAGGTTAATGCTTAATCGTGAAGTTAATCCTTTTTCGTGAGGTTAACTCTTCATCGTGTGGATAATCCTCTATAATTTGTCACTTCATGTCTCTTTCTCGTCATTTAATAAAGAATATATTATGCCTCTGCCACCCAGTTCATCGCTACATCAAATATACGGTATTCTTCACTTCGCTTAATTTATCATATGCAGCTTTTCTTCCCATTACTCTTTCTCATGAAGGTTCGGTAATAATATAATATATACGGGTCCCGTGAAAGCAGTAATGGTTCTCATCGGCAAACTATTCTAACTTGAAAGGTTTTGTGTCCATTACTTATTCTATTTTGGAAACTAGTTCTGGTTCTTCAATGACAGAGGATCTTAACTCATTTAGAAATTTTACATCATATTTATCGCGTGTTGCGTTTTATATTTTCTATTATTTTTAAATACATTTTATCGGCCCAGAACAATCAACGACTCTAGTAACTACCATTAAGTGTTGGTGTTAAATATGAGCAGTTACTAAGAAGCCCATGGCGACAACAACATTTCTTTGCTTCTTGTAATTCACAATTTTTTCGAAATTAATTTATTATGTTTTTATAGAATCATTGGGAAAAAAGTGTTTTCGTTTTCAATTTTGTGCCAAATCCTATGAGTGAAAAATTGATGTTTTTTTCGCAATGAAAAATCCTGTCATGTTCTTGATATAAGAATGCATGAATTAGATAACTTACTTTTATGCCTCTCAAGAGAATATGACGAGCTTTTTCTAGTTTGAATGTTTTTGCAACTACATAAAAGTATTACCTCGAGCAAAAATGTTTTCGTGTAGATTATGTTTACGTAAGCATTGTATATACATATAATACATTGTATATACATATAATACTCATACAGGTATCGTTATTTTTCATCTATTCAGTCGATAGCTTTGTAGTCTCTGTAAATTTGTTTAGTCTTAAGATATTATCGCTTCTCATTATTTGTTTGAATGATGTATTGAAAATCATTTTTTATAAAGAATTCAGTCTTTAATTTTATAGAGTATCTACTCCGTATAAACTTTTTTTCCAGTGTAAAATATTTATTTGAATCACCAAGCTTTTGTAATGAATGAAAAGCTTGCATTTTATTTCAATATATCCATTTGTACGAGTATAATATGTAGAATTTTCTACATGTTTGTAGAAAATTCTATTATATACTATATATGTATGCTTAAGCTCTTATACTATTTCTTAAACGTTTTAGTTTCACTCCACTGAAACGGAAGACTTGATGGTTCACCCTTTGTCGGAAGGCTTGTCTTTAAAGGCAGCTAACCGTTTATTCGAAGCTTGGCCTTTTATCTTGAATTTCCGCATTAGCGCGCTGGTTATTTCTTCAGAAAGTTAACGATCAATGACAAGTTATTTTCATGAGGATTGTGCTTGGTTATAAACTATGCGACGCTCATTAGGAGTGCGAGGATATGTCGTCTCGCATGGAGGATATGTCGTCTCACATGTTTCATTATCTCGCTTTACTGCAACTTCCTGCCCATCCTGGATATCTCTGTCACTATTTGTTCTAAATGTTTCAGTTAACATGTCACTATTTGTTCGAAAGCACTATTAATATCCAACAGGGGAGCAACCAGTGGTAGGATGATGGATCAGGGCCTATACTTTCAAAAAAAGTTAAGAGATCGTAAGTTCATCAGCCAATCATTGATGGCCTTTCAAACAAAATACACCAATCACAGACAAGAAAATAGAGCGAAAGTATTTACGTTCACTTAGCGTGGTTTGAAAGAATGGCCCCTGGATAATATTCCGAGAGTACGAGAAAATGTACTAGGCAGGCAGCAAAGCCATCTTCATTGTGGTTCATACATATCGAATTGGATTAGAGCTCAATAGAAGAAACGTAATTGAAACACTTTAAAGGTATTCTTCTGAGGTTTTCGTGCATTCAGATTTTCGAAATTTCATTCAGGAATTTCATTTCGAAAAACAATAATATTATCTCTCTTTATTCTATTATTTTGTCTCATTGCCATAACGACTTGACAAATGAACTGGAAAATCAAACTTGTTCCTGATATGAAAAGTAAACATTTCATTCTTCAATAATATCAATTTCGTGTTTATTGCAAATCTGCAGGGCCTCAAATAATACACAAAAGTTGTGTGCATGCAAATGGAACCAACTGACGTTATCTTAACCTAATTCAATCCACATTTTCACAACGCTAAAATTCCTCCTTAAAAATTACCGATTCTTCCTCCCGCCTTCTTCAGTGTATGATGTACATAGAAATTATGTGATCACTTCTATTTTGTTCAATGCTTTAATAGGTTTAGTTTTATTAGTTTAGGTCATACTCTTAATGGCACAGAAGGATATTCCATAAATTTCTGTCACGCGATGTTTTCGATGTCGTCTTCATACGAGTGAGTGACATCCTGTGTATTGTGGATGTGTGATGTATGATGTGCACTAATAACACCACTATTGTATGATGCGCACTATTAACACCACTATTGTATGCGTATGCATAATCTTCTTTTGTATGATTTGAATCGTTAAAGCAACAATATTGTACTAGTGGATTTAGGTTTCTATTGTATGTCAGACGTGTTGAAACCCTTATTGTATGAGTGTCCCACGGCCGATGCTGTTTGATAAGACTTATTAAGACCTAAATATTGTACGAGTAGGCCTAGTCTGCTAAGGTAGGAAAGGATTTACAATAGTCCAAGTGGATCCAATAAATTAGCAACAGATTAGTGAATTAAAACTTATGAACAAAGCTATAGTACTAGCTGTGCATGCTTCTAAAATGTGTCTATTATATGGGCTAAGGTTGCTGTCAAATTAAAACGATATCGAATTCAATTGGCGGATTTATTCTAATAATTTGTGGTGTATTATAAAACGTATTAGAAATTGCGATATTAATCGTTTTTTTCCGGAATCGCTTCATTGTCATTATATCTAAACTCAAACTATACAAACGATTCTGTAGGTGCCGTTTATTTTGTTTATGTTCATGTAAAATTTTCATGTGATATTATCCTTTAAAATTTAGCGCTTGCGTTACCGTTGAACGCGGATTGGTTGCTAAAAGAACGGCTACTTCTTATCTAGTGCATCATTGTAAACAATCTGCCATTTATATAGGTCGAGAAACTATGTAGGACGTTCTATTACAATCATACAGTTAGAAATTTCATGTTTAGATTACGAGATTTTAGCAGTAGTGAGGGTTGAGTGTTTACAACTGTAGTTTTGTGTCTATTTCTGAGAGAACGTTAATGAATGAATGGTGGTAGTAGAATCCTGACCGAATTTATTAATTGTGCTGGAATAACGTGTTATTATCATCATTATGAATACTATTTATTATCTTTAATGTTGAATATTGAACATTCAGTAGAGGTGCTGCTGAGCCCGTAAATGGAACAGTGTTGCGTGGTCACGTTTATCAAACACCAGCTCCTTTACTCCATCATCTAATTATGCCTGTAAATTATTGTATATAAACTTATTTACGAGTTAATGAATTATAATTGACTGGAATTATAATATTTTTTACCTATCGTTCTTCTCATTTTTGGTTGAATTATTTCATGATACGTACAATAATTCCAAATCTGAACGTTTCGTTTTTCTTTACATTCGCCGGTGAATAAAAGATTTCAAATATCGCCGAATCGCACTTATGGTCAAAATATACTAATCAATATGAAATTTGTAAAACCTTTTCATCGTTAAAGTCTTATTTACAATCGCTGCAGTTGTTCAATTCTCTTCTACAGAATCCCGTTATGAATATAAAAAAGTTAATCTGATCGAATAAATCCAGTTAAAAAATTTGACAGTTTCTATATATTATAGAAACCTCATATGACTCCAGTTTGAAAAAAATGTAAAAAATTGTTTCAAAATTGAATCTCTGAAAATATGCTAGAACACGGTATTATTTCAATAGATCCAAATAGACCAGAAAAAATCAAACATTTGAGACTGTTCCTGATGAGTATTGAACGCAACCTGTAGTCGACGCCGAAGTCTCAGCGCGAACTTGCCGCGAAGGAAAGGTCCATAGGAGATTAGGGCTTCTCTCTTCTCTGCCCTGCAGCCAATATCCTAGAACGTCTTGTGCTCCTATATTTCTTAGGATATCTCACCACCGTCCCCTCGCAACATGGTTTCAAACCGGGACACTCCACAGTCACTGCCCTCATCCCGCTCGCGCACCAGATCGCGACGGGTTTTAACTCTCGGCGCCCTCCAGCCGTCACAGTCGCTGCTGCGGTCGACCTCTCGAAAGCTGTCGACAGTGTCGACCACCCTCTCCTTCTAAGCATGATAGCGGCCTCAGACCTACACCACAACCTGGTCCGCCGGCTGTGCTGATACCTCAGCGGCAGGCAGGCATCCTGCCTCTACCTCAGAACACAATCTCCTTTTAGAGCAATTCACTCGGGAGTTCCCCAAGGCTCGGTCATCTCGCCGGCCCTCTTTAGCCACTTCATCTATGATATCCCAGTGCCGGTCCCCAACATTGCCCTCATACGCGGACGACCTTACCATCTTCGTGTCGTCCCCGAGGCTCGACGCTACAGAGGCTGACCTCGCCGTGCTCCTACGGAGCGTCTCAGACTGGTCGGCTGACAAGAAACTGGGCGTGGCTCCTGGCAAGTCCTCGATCACGCTCTTTACCCCAGACACTCACCAAACCCGATCCCACCCATCTGCCACAATTTGCAATGGTTTCATCCCCTTAGATAAAACCCCCAAAATCCTAGGCGTCACCAGGGACACGCACTTCACGTTTTCCCCTCATGTCAGAGCCATGGCCACGAAGACGACGGGATCTCTTCGCATCTTAACAGCCCCTTACCGGCACCAACTGGGGCTTCTTCAAGGAGGACGTTATTGCCACGTACCGAACCATCACGCGCCCAATCCTCAACTACGCGGCCCTCATCTGGTACCCTGTCGCCTCACGCACTGCAATAGCTAGCTTTCAAAGTAGACAAAACTGAGACTAGCCACCAGCTGCCTCAAAATGGCCCCTATCGCCCATCTTCCCCAGGAGACCGGCATCCTTCCATTGTCCGCTCATCTGGACCTGGCTTGTGCCCAGTTCCTCGCCAGCGCCCTCACGCCCTCATTCTACATCGCTTCTGCTCCCCTCGGGGACCGCCTCATGAAAGCCTCCATCCAGTCGAGGTTCGGCCACCTTGTCACACCATTTTTGGCAAGTGGTATCATGACCGCCGGTGCCTATGGTGAGGCCAAGAGCTCCCTCCGCAGGGAGATTGCCCCCCGCGTTGCGGCGACTGACGTCATCAACGCCATCCTCGCAGCCCCACCACTGCCGATTGCATCAGTGGAGACCTTCACTTCCTCGCCCCTACCGCTCAGCGTCATCCCAGCTCCGCTCGGGATACTGCAGCTCCCTGGGCGTCCTACTTCGCCAGGATCGGACGCTCCCCTAGCTCCGCCTGCCCGGAGTCCGGAGATCCCCTCCAGTCCGTCCAGCATCTCTTCGCCTGCCCCGCCTTCCCCATGTCCCTCAGCGTCTCCTCACTGTGGGACAGTCCCGTGGAGGCAGCTGAGCCTCCCCCGGTGAGCGTGAAGGTCGCAACTAACAACAACAACGAGGTAGGGCAGACTTGTCCTCGCTCTCAACGCTGATGCTCAGCGCCCCATCGTTCGGTTCATATTCGCTTAACATTTAACTTTCTGTGCACCGAGCGGGCGTCGAAGGTTAGCTTCTAAATTCCTCTTCCATTAACCTCCGTGGCTGGACCAAGCCTGACCGTTCGCCTTTCAGATGAACTGTCGACGTTAGCGTTTAGGTAGGTGGCAGGATGACATATTAGGTGGAGTGTCATTGTTTTTGCTGCCATGTTTGAACTATCAAATATTCATCCTCTATGCGGTTTCTGATTTGTATAAATTAAGATTATAAGACATCTCTATTGTTTATATCTGTTGTCTCAATTAAAAATATTAATTCTGGAGCCTAAGGATTTGCCATTCCTGTTTTGATTGGTCATCAATGTGATGGTATAATCTAGCGACTAGCATTAATCTAATCTCTCCGTCACGGATACATTTACCGTCGTCAATGCTATTCGTACCTAGAGGTTTGGGACCGAGAAGTTCCGTCAGTCACGAAAGTGTTGAGACATCTTGGATCTCTTTACTCTGTAAAGAGCCTAATCGTACCAATTTAAATTCATTACGAACTATACGTATTCAAAATAACCCATGCTCAGTTGCTCACTGCTCAGAAAACCGTACTATGTTGGCTTGGGAGTTTGGGACTCAGCGTAAGTAACTGTCTCTGCACCGACCCAGTTCGTTCCACAAGCATGGGACTTGACCGCGAGTCCGCGTCAGTGGCTATTGCCGAATGCCGATACGTCTGCTGACGAGTGACGGATGCTTAGTGACGTCAATCACGTCATTGTCTATTAACTGCGATGCTCTATCGTAGAATTACTAATTAACAGTTAGCCATTATTTTTTTACCACCTTTCATTTTTTCTCTCATTGCGGAGGTTTTTTTTTTTAAAATGCTCAGTCCTCAGAAGTACTGACTTGGAAAATTATGGTGGTAGAAAATAATTGTGTGCCGTGTGGTAATAAAATCATCTGCTTGCTGTATGAGCCTATGAGGATCCTAGTGCTACGCACAAG